ATTTTAAGACTTAAAAAGAAGGCTTAAACAGATTAGATAAACATCTTAATTAAACAAAAAAATAACATAAAATAAATAAAATGTTGGTTAAGTATAATTTCCATATATTTAACACACTCACACTTTTACAAATCATAATTACAGAGGAATAATTAATTAATTCATTCATTAACTAGTCAAAATACATTTAATTAATTAACAATTTCAAAATTAATTAATTGTATAACTTGACGTCTCAACTTTGGCTATTTGACACGTGAGATTCAGAACGAAGATGGTACGAAAACAAAAAATAGATATTTTCTTGGCAAAACAGGGTTTTTAATATTCCTACAATGTCAGCTGATAATGAGTTAAGTAGGCTGGAAGATTGTCGGATAAAATTTTAATTGGTTGATTGATTGATTGATCGAATAGTTAACTCATTCTCTGATTGATTTAAAGACAGGTTTCAGGATCAGATCAGTCCATTCAATGCAGTTTTTTAAAGTGTCCATTTAAACTAAAAATTTGCAGCTGTTATGNACTTTTACACCGTTTATTCACTATGCACCGTTTCTTTTTTGACTAGAAGTGGACATTTTTTAGCTCACATGTTCTTGGTTTTTTTAACTTTATAAATATTCTAAAATTCCCCCAAAAAATTAAAAAAATAAAGAGAAGATGAGAGGGGTAAAAATCACAAAGTTATAAATAGATTGTCCGGCAAGTAAAGAGTGTGCAGGTGTGTACCTATTTGGCACTGATCATGATTTTAAAATATCATTGGTCCAAGAGAGGGTCCTAGGAAAACCCCATTTTGATTATACTGTTTGGAATTATCTGGTTCTTCAGAAGGTGTGATGGAGCTAGTTTAACATTTCAGTTTTTAATATCGTCTAAGGAAGCATCCTCAACTTAGCTTTCGGTGTGACTGAGCGCACTGATTTGCAGTACGCTGACCGACGAAATAGTAGAGTGGAGGTTGTAGACTTAATTTAGATTTAATTTTGACCAATATTGCTGAATGTATCCTATTATTGCTGCATCTGAAATAAAACGAAACAATTATAAAAATGACAATTGTAGATTCAAAAATAAAATAAAAAGATTATTTCGTTAAATACAATCAAGATGAAACCAAATTATGAAAAAATTGTGCCAACGACAAAAAAAATTGCTTTGACAAAAATATTACTTTAACCCTATTCCTGCTGGGGGTGGGGTCAATTTGACCCCCCACCGTGTAGTTTTTTTTACATAACTCAAAAAGTATTGGTCTGAGGCGGTTGAAATTTTCTGACTTTTCCTACATACCCAAAGCCCTCCCTTTAGGCCTTTGCTTACATCTATATCTATTGACTCTGAGTCTAGGCTAGATATGGTGAATGTATGATGAGTAGGTATACTATACTCAGAGATGGCTGGTATACCTTTTTCAAGTACCCCAGCAGAGATAGGATTAAATCCTAAATGATCGGAGTAACCTCATACAAGTTAAAATATATTAAAACTCATATAGACAAGGGTAATTTTTTTTTTCTCCTCTAGGCTTATAATATATAATTTTATATCTTTAATGTCGTGATTACTTCTAAATGAAAATCTAATATTTATTTATTATCTTGTTCAAGAAAAATAAGAAAACTAATCTAAGTTTGTCCAACATTAATAGGATAAGAAGGTTTAGTCTAGATTAATCAGATGGCATAGCTAGTACCTACACAGACTATATTGGGACTAGAAGGGGAATAAGGGGGGGGGAGGAAAAGGTAAAAAGGGGGGGATTGGATATGGTTAAGAGAGGGAAAATTATGAGATTTTAAAATGGATTCTAAGGATTTGGATTGGGGTTAGTATGGTATAGGATGGTTTAAAATGGCTAGGATGATGATTAGTATGGTTTAGAATGATTTAGGATTGTTTATGATGGTTTAGAATGGCTAGGATGATGATTAGTATGGTTTAGAATGATTTAGGATTGTTTATGATGGTTTAGAATGGCTAGGATGATGATTATTATGGTTTAGAATGATTTAGGATTGTTTATGATGGTTTAGAATGGATAGGATGATGATTAGTAAGGTTTAGAATTGTTTATGATGGTTTAGAATGATTTAGGATTGTTTATGATGGTTTAGGATGGTTTAGGATTGTTTATGATGGTTTATGATAGTTTAGGATTGTTTATGATGGTTTAGGATAGCAGGATAGTATAGGATGGTTTAGGATGGTTTAGGATGGTTCAGGATGGTTTAGGATGGTGTAGGATTGTTTAGGATGATTAAGGATGGTATAGGATGGTTTAGGATGGTTTAAGATGGTTGAGGATGCTTTAGGATGGGTTAGAATGGTTTAGAATGGTTTAGAATGGTTTAGAATGGTTTAGGATGGTTTAGGATGGTTTAGGATAGCAGAATATTTTAGGATGGTTTAAAATGGTTTAAAATGGTTTAGAATGGTTTCAGATGGTTTGGGATAGCAGGATAGTTTAGGATGGTTTGGAATGGTGTAAAATGAGTTTAAAAGGTGTAGGATGGTTTAAATTATTTCGGATGGATTTTGGATAGCAGGTTGGTTTAGAATGGTTTAGGATGGTTCAGGATAGTTCAGGATAGTAGGATAGTTTAGGATGGTTTAGGATGGTTTGGAATGGTATAAAATGATTTAGGATGGTTCAGGATAGCAGGATAGTTTAGGATGGTTAAGGATGGTTTGGAATGGTTTAGTATGGTTCAGGATGGTTGAGGATAGCAGGATAGTTTAGGATGGTTAAGGATGGTTTGGAATGGTATAAAATGGATTAGGATGGTTTAGGATAGCAGGATAGTTTAGGATGGTTTAAGGATGGTTTAGGATGGTTTAGTATGGTTTAGGATGGTTTAGGATAGCAGGATAGTTTAGGATGGTTCAGAATGGTTTGGAATGGTACAAAATGTATCAGGATGGGAAGGATGGTTAAGGATGGTTTAGGATGGTTAAGTATGGTTAAGGATGGTCTAGGATGGTTTAGGATGGTTCAGTATGGTTTAGGATAGTAGGATAGTTTAGGATGGTTAAGGATGGTTTAGGATGGTTATGTATGGTTCAGGATGGTTTAGGATAGTAGGATAGTTTAGGATGGCTAAGGAATGTTTAGGATGGTTTAGGATGGTTAAGGATGGTTTAGGATGGTTTAGTATGATCAGGATGGTTTAGGATAGCAGGATTGTTTAGGATTGTTAAATATGGTTTGGATGGTTAAGGATGGCTTAGTATGGTTTATAATTGCTTAGAATGGCAAACTCAAATTTTCTAATCCCCATTTCTTTGCAACATGACGGTGTAAAACCTTAGACCTTCCAAACTTCGATTATTTGACTTAACAGTTAATACATGTCTATGACATTTCCTGTAAAAAAATAATGATTATTATTGTAAAATATTAGATAGCTCCTCACCTTCTATTGATTGTGGTTTAGTAGGGTGTTTGTCACCTCCGAGATAGAGAGTAGGGGAGAACGAGTAGGTATAAGAGGAGAAGGTAGGAAGGTTGGAAGGTTGAGGGGTAGGGTAGAGAAGGTATGAAGATCATTGCTTACATCTATATCTATTGACTCTGAGTCTAGGCTAGATATGGTGAATGTATGATGAGTAGGTATACTATACTCAGAGATGGCTGGTATACCTATAGATGGTAGGCTGGAGACGGCAAATGTGACCTCATGAGGCTGGGAGATGGTGAAGGGAGATCCGTTAGGGAGGCAGAGGGTGGAGGACGAAGACCCAGCGTGGAGGGTGAGGGTGTCCTCGGGGAGGGAGACACATTTTTAGTTTTTCTTAATTAAAAATCAGGTTACTTAAAATTTTGCAAAACTTTTTGCATATTTTGTCTGATAAACTGAAGGTACAGAATGAAGAAGAAGGAGATGAAGAAGAGGCAGGAGGATCACCTGAAGTTCTTGGTGACTCCGCTGGACTGTTTATATTAGTATTCAGCTGATACAATATTTTTCATCAGATAAAATCCGGGAGAATTTTAATTTTAATCTAATTTAGTCAGGGATGGAGGAGGGGGGGGGGGTTCTTAGTGGGGGGTGGGGGGGGGGGTCTTAGTTTAAACATTTTTTTACATAGCTTTAAAAGGGCGGACCAGAAGTAAATATTCTTAAGTGACATATTAAATTCACAACGGTACCCTTAAAAGCTTTGTCGATTAAGAATGCATGAGATATCCATTATCTTCTTTTTTGAATTCGCTATTTTCTATTGGGGTATCTAAAAGGTGACTTGGACATTAAGCCCTTTTCAAGCTAGGAAAACAACGATATCGTCTATATTACTGATCAGATTAAAGGTGTAAAGGTACCGTTGTGAATGTGACCCCTCTTTTTAATGGAAGACCCACTTGAAATCATAACAATAGTGTCACTTTAAAATTATAATGTTCATTGCAATAAAAACACGTTTTTGTCTCCCTTGCTGTCGGCGTAAAAATGATCAAAATCATGAATTTGAATATTTTGCATTTTACGAACCGGGTAAAAAACATTGCATGAGTAAAATTCCTGTAATTTCCTGTGTTTTACGAATATTAGACGGAAACCAGGCGGGTAGTAATATTGAGAGAGAGAGAGTGGTCTGGGCAATTATCAAATATAAAGTTAATCAATGAAATTGTTCATGTTCGTCAAAAAGTCCAATATTAACAGAAATTTTCTAAATATTTATTGATTTTGTTAGCATGCAGTTGTGCTGAGTACTTACCTAGTGGTATACTATAACTATAATAACTATTCAATAATAGTACTTTAAGCCTTATAATATATACCTTGACTTTTAAAGTCAAAAAGCATATGCGCATGCCAGCATGACTTGTGCCTGCATGCCCTGAGAAGCCTGAAGTGTGCATGATGTGCATGATGTGCATATGGCTTGAAAGGAAAGGTGCGTGTGTTGTGCTTTTTATGACATTTATTGGGATATTAACAGTAGTTTATAATTTTCTAATCTAAATATCAAACCCCCCTCTATCCCTTATATTTTAAATAGATTGAAGTCAAATATACATAATTGAACAAATTGTTGTGTATGTCCATATTTTCATATATTTACAGGCGTCTCCTTTTTCTAGGTCTGACAAGTTTTGAGTAGACCAGGGACATTTTTTCAACATACCCTCCTCAACAAGAACTTATTTTTTTAATTTAAACAAAAAATCTTTTTTAATTTCGATATTTTTAGATTTTATAAATATGGTGGATAGTAACTACCCCTGGTCTAGTAGTGATACAGAAGTGGCGACACTGAGCTAATTAGTATTTTATAGTAGCCCCAGGCAATGCACAGTGAGCCAAATATAAGATTTAAATTCAGGTTTCAATACCAGATTTTAACAGGGTCACGGAGAGATGTAACCTCATGCAGAAATCAATTAACAACCAAAAAATGCATTTCTATTTTCATTTATTTATTTTGAAAAGGGGGTATATAGTGCCAAACAAATTAAGACCTTTAATTCTTTACGAACTTCCAAACGAAAAAGAGATTTACCAATTTTTAAATAACTCCCTTTAAAATGTAAGTCATCTTATTTATGGTATGCTCTCTAAACTGGAACACACTTAAGTATTAAAAATTTGTGAGAAAAAAGTGTTTTCAAAACTATAACATGAAAAAAACATAGTCAGAGACAATGACTTAAATTGTTTTGAATTTTTCTACTTTAGACTTTGAACTTCTGTCGAAATAGGTTTGAAAATTACACTAAGTGTACAGTTCAGAATTAATAGAAAAATGCAAAAATATTGTTTGACTGGTATAAAAAGGTTTACTCAAATATAAAACAATGTGTACCAACTTTTTAAGAACTTATTAAACTATGCTTTTCAGAGATACTCTTTAATAAGCTTTGTACAACAGAAACATTTATATTTTAGATATTTGTTTGTACTAGAACAACTGTGTACTAGACCAACTGTGCACTAGACCAACTGTGCACTAGACCAACTGTGTACTAGACCAAATGTGTACTAGACCAACTGTGTACTAGACCAAATGTGTACTAGACCAACTGGTTACTAGACCAACTGTGTACTAGACCAACTGTGTACTAGACCGTCTGTTTACTAGATTGACTATGTACTATGTACAACTGTGAACTAGATTGACTGTGTACTAGAAACTGTGTACTAGACCAACTGTGTACTAGACCGTCTGTTTACTAGATTGACTATGTACTATGTACAACTGTGAACTAGATTGACTGTGTACTAGAAACTGTGAGTTGAAATTCCAAAGTTCCTTGAATTAATCTAAAAAGTTTAGTTGTGAGTCCACAACTTTGCATTTATTCATAAATTCAGCGAACTCATCAGAAACCAAAGTTAAAAACGTCTCTGTTAAGCCCACTGTGCATTGAAAGCTAGGCTGCTACTGTCTTTAACTTTTAGTGGTATAGGATTAGAGTTAGGGTGCAAATTATACCCTAGGGACATCAAGAACAATTCCACCAATTCAACTTTTTTCCCAAGATGAAACCACGGCTCCTAATCGAAGAAATGTCTGAGTATAAATGACTGTGTAGAAATGTGCCGGGTCGGAAGGTGACAATGTTTAAAAGTCCTCTGTGTCACATTCTAAAGTTGGGGAGCTGGAGGTTTCCTCTGTAATTTAATAATTTTCATAATTGGCAGAATGCATTGTTATATTTTAAATGACAGAAAAAAATGTTGATTTGAGGTGGAATTTGATCACATGACCTTTCTAAGGATACTGTGGCCCTGTTCTACCCACCGTTTGGTACTTTCTCAAGATTGTTGCTTTCATCCCCAAATATTTAGTTTCCCAATTTTAATTCATCCCAAATGACATTTTCCCAACGTTGCGGCTGGGACAAATGTAAAATTTTCAGAAATATCTTATTAAGAGAAATGTTCACTTTTTGAATTACCACTTGAGGACTAACCCTTGGGAATTGATTATGTTTGGAAAATAAAGGGAAAGTACCCAACATTACTACCCCCCCCCCCTCGACATTTAGTTTGTGCTGTGTGCTGTATGTGCTGGTTGTACCTCCTGTGTCTGAGACACAGAATCTGTACTAATGGCCGCCACTCCACAAATGTCTGATAAACTGAAGGTACAGAATGAAGAAGAAGGAGATGAAGAAGAGGCAGGAGGATCACCTGAAGTTCTTGGTGACTCCGCTGGACTGTTTAGACGTACACTAGGAGAATGTACTTGGCGAGGGTCGAAGTGTAACTTGGGACTCTCAGGGCACATGTAGAGCACAGGGGTGTTAATCCCATGTATTTGGTCAGGAAGGGTATATGATGTATCATGGTTTAATGAATATTCTGGGTTTAAACCACCCTCTTCCTTTACAACAAGTTTACCATCACCCTCCAATCGATCCTTACCGTTTTTATTATCTGGTAAGCGTAGAGAGCTGCACAGCCTTGGATCTGACATATAAGCAGCAGCTGCGGAGCTGCTGTAAAGCTTATCAGCGTCTGCCAGCTTCTGATCATAAGCTAAAGAATGTATCCTACCGCTGCCAGCTACATCTAAATAGCCATTGCCTAGAGCTGCATGAGCAGCATATTCTGGATAGTAGCTGCCTAGTGATCTATACCCAGCAGCTGTAAAGTAGTCTGTAGCAGCTAGATATCTATTATCTACCCCCGGATATATACTCTGATAAGCTGGAGATGCAAGGTTCTGCTGCATATATAGGGTTGTATCCGGAGAGGGATATCCAGGTATAGAACTACCAACACTCCCTGGATACATACCCGGGGTTGGATATGCAGGAAAACCTCCACTCTCTCCGTATATATCATTAGCTAAAGGTTTTCGTTTAGTTCTACACGAGGATAGAAAGTCTCTAAGCTGGGTTTTGTATCGTCTGTGGTTAAGTTTAGGCCCTGTAGTCGAACTATTAGAATCACTATCAAAGTACGATGTGGCGAACCCTGCATCCAAATACGATACTTTAAAGTCCATGGTTCGCTTCCCTAACAAATCTTTCCCCTCCTCATCTCTGAAATAAAAAAAAATAAAAATTTTGCAACATTTTTAAAGTTTTTTTTAACTTACGTCAGAGGTCTGTGGGTAGAGATAATAAAATCAGGTTTACTATTCTTGTAGACAAGTCTAGATGAGGTTTGAAGATATTGGAAGCTTAAATCCTTGCACTGCAATCTATACGCTATCATTCCACTAGCACCAGTCTTTAACACTAAACATTAAAAAGAAATTAAAAACTTATTTTCTTCTCTAAATTTTCAACCCCTCCCTCCCCCCACCCCCAATTTATTCGTTGATAGAAATTGATAGAAATTAGGAGTAATGATTGAAAACATATAAAATTTTAATTTGTTTTAGTCTGACGTAACCCCCCCCCCCCC